AAACACAGTTCTTGGATGGCGAGGCCATTCTTGCCGTCCTGGACGACATTTACGTCGTGCTGCACCTGGACGCAGGCGTCAGTCCCGAGTGGTGTGCCCAGCGTAACGAGGCCCCGCGGATCCTGGGGCAGTCCAAACTCCAACCCAGACCGGGTCACCGCCCTGGCTGGAGGTCCCGGTTGCCGTGGTTCTTCGCCCGCGGCATTCCGCGCCTTGGTTGTGGAGCGGTTGAAGCGGACGCGCGCATGCTCCCACAGGGCAATTTCAACTTCGTCATACAATTGGAGGACCGGTTCAGCACCAACTCCGCCTCAAACATGCGGCCCCGCCTGCTCCAGCGGCGCAGAGCCCAGAGCCAATCAGTTGCTTCGCGTGCTGCCCTTCACGCTGAGCGAGAAACACGCCGCAAATCAGGGTCGCCCACTTGAAAGGGCGCTGGCGCGTGTCTGCTGAGAGGCGGGGGCCTGTGTCTCCCGTTCAGCATGTCAGGCGCGTTGAACCCCTTTTGGCATGGTGCGCAACTCGCTGTTGATGCCACTATCGCGAGCCCTGTGGCAGAGCCAAGGAGACGCTGCCCGGTGCAGATGCCCGACCGGCATTATAGCCCGTGACCAAGCCGCCCAGCGCAAGCGCGGCATTGTCAACAACCACGGGGATAGGGCTCGCCATCCTTGTGGCATTCGTCCCTTTTAGCGCCTTTTTGCGTCGTCAAGCGTCAAAAATGTCAACAATCACGGGGCATGGCAAGTGTGTCATTTTCCTTCCTGTCGTTGGTATTGCGTGTCTACATTGTCGATGTCCTCGTACTGGTTGTTGCTTTTGGAGCCTCAAGTCCGTCGTGTTCGTCAGCGGTCAGTCTGGTCCTCTCCCCAGGTTACCCTCTGGATGGTTTGCCCGAGCTGCCGATTTGCGAGGCACGTCTACGCAAGGTGCAGTGTGGGCGGCAGCCTGCTGGGCTGGTAGAGCAAGGTGCAGAACCCTTGCGATGGGGAGACCCAGTCAGCGTCGGGCAGTGAGGGCATCCGTCACGCTCTGGCGCTCCAGCTAAAAAGCTGCCATCGTGGCTGATTGACGACGCGTGTCCTTGTAGTGTGTTATATGTTTCTGTCCCATCTTTCATTTTGTGTTTTTTCCGACGCGCCGTATCTTTGTGTCTATCCTTGTGTTTGCATGCATGTTGTGTCCGTGGTGTACCACGTACGTGTTTTGTTGTCACCCATCGTGTGTCGCGTCAGCCGTGTTCGTGTTGTTTGTCGTGTCCGGATCTCGCGCCGTTTTTTGGGTCGATTCTCGTGTCCTCATGCATGTTGTGGCTGCCATGTCCTGTTTTTTGTTTTTGTTTTCCCTCCCGCGCAGTCATAGCTGCGAGGTGACAAGCCGTGAGCCGCGCATGTCGTGTGTTTGTGTGGTGCATCGTATTTTGTGTCATGTCGTGGTTTCATGTGGTGTCCCTTGTTTTCGTGTTGCATTTTCGTGTCCCTTGTCATGTCGTATCTTCGTTGCGCTTCCGCGCGTTTTCGGGTCCGGTCTCCCTGTCATCCCGCCATGTCTGCATGCCGAATCTTCTTTGCCGAAATTTGTGATATATGTCAGCATTCGGGTGTGTGGTTGAATCAGGATGCTCGCATCCTACTATGCCTGGCTGTTGCCTAGCAATTGAGTAAGTGCTGTTTTTTGTTTTCCTACGGGCCTTTTTGCAGTAGAGTTCTGGCGGTCCGCGCGCATATGCAGCCAGAGGCCAAATCCAACCCACACGCATGGTCCACGATCGTTGCGGCGACGTGTGGCCCAACTCCAGGCCACAGGTGCTCACGCGAGGCGACTGGCTAAGGGCGGCGCATTTTCAAACACTCAGGAATCAAGTAGCATTCATTCTTCACAATTGCGACCATTACTGATTTCATTCAGTCTGCGGTCAGGCGGTCATCAATCGTTTTCTCCACGGCCTATATATGTCAGGTTCGGCCATTGCAGGATCTGGTCGGGCTCGGGGCCCAGCGCCTGGCGCGCGCATCTGGCCGCGGACCAAGCATTGCTGAGCACAGTGCCGGCGACGTCTTGTTGCACGGCCACAGCGTGACTACCGCCGCCTTGCTGAGGTCGACGCTGGCATAGCAGTGGCGATGACCTGAGCATGGTCGCGAAGTCGGGGGCCGCGCTCGAGCCTGCTTGCACAGCAGCAAGTTTCAGCGTTGCCTGCCGCCTGCGACGTGGTCCGTATGCCTAGCATTTTGGTCGAAGTTGTCGGTAACAGCTGGGCCGCCTCCGTTTTCACATGCCAGCGAGAGCAACGTCAGTGAGGAAGCGCATCATATGTGGAGATCCAAGTAGCACACAGTCCTCACCGACATGCGAATTTGCGTGCAGCCCCCTTCTTTTCAGGTTTACAAACTCGGGTGCTTTCGGCATCCACGATTTGCAAGGTCAGGCCGCAGGCGCCACAGTGGCAACCTGAAAAGCACGGGCCTTCGCATCCTGTTTTTGAACTGTCTCCCTTGCGGTAGCTTGCGTGGTGCATCGCCTACGTTGGATAAATGCAACCAGCTGCTGACGCCCTTGCGACAGCCGTGGTTGCAAGCAAAGCTTGGGCAGGCCACGTTGGGCCATGCAAATCAGCGGCGTGCGCGTTGAGGCAGCAGCGCCTGAATACACACAGTGCCGCGTGAGTTGTTTGCATCCGAAAGCCGTGCGCCGGACGTTGGCGCTCTTGCAGCGGCCGCGGCCGCAGGCAAGGTCTGAGCAGACCCGCGAGGGCGCGCGGCTCCTCTTCGGGGCCTTGTCCGCGTGCGGGCACGGCACAGACACCGCGATCGACAGCCAGGCGGTGTCAGTACCCTGACGACATGTTAGCCCCGCAGGCCTGCGGGATATGTTTAAACGTGGCTTGGTTTAGCTTGGTTGCGAAGGGGGATCATGGCGTTGGCCCGCCATCTCCAAAGACGATGTGCATTTATATCAACCTACTTTCATGTGCTGTCGCAGTGGCTGCGGAAGGGTGACGCATGAAGCTCTGTAAAAGCTGTCAACGTGAGCATGCCATTGTAATTGGATGGAAAGGGCAAGAGAGTTCAAAGCTGCTGTCCATGATCAATCGACTATTGCATGATGTGTCATTATGTTCCAGATGAATGGTCAGAAGACCAGACAACCTGGAACATGTGGGTGTAAAACGGAACATCTGACCCGTATCAATTTTTTCCGGATCCCGAGAAGATGGTGTCATGAATGGGCATCCGTTTCTTCAAGCCATGCTTGCATTTCTTCTGCCATGCGCCGGCTCAAGATTCGTAATCATTCGATATTGTGTTGTATAAAGGTTGCCGGGCACCGAGACTTCTGGGTAGAGAGACCGACCTTCTCAAAAAATTGGAAGTTACGAGGTCGCCTTGTCATGGCCAATGGCAGCCATGAAGGCCCCGCATGATGATAAAAGCTTCACAGACGCAATGGTTCACAGAAAAATCACCTTCGTCGATTCAAGGCTACTCGACTTGTGATGGGCTTGAGCGCGGGCAGCTTGGAAACTTCCCAGCAATATAGCAGCGATGTCCAGATTCATGCCGCATGCAAATGTCGGAAGGTCCCTGTGGGTGCGGTCTTCCACCCTCAACCTTTCAGCTTGGTCCCTGGTTGCATCAACATGCACACCGCACCCATGTATTAGCTGCTGATTGGAAGGCTTGTTCGAAGGAGGAGTTGTAGACGGTGCACATCCTCCAAACATCAGGCAACATGCATTTCATTTCGTCGTGCACATCATTTATGCCGCTAAGGGACCTATGGCTTGTTGTGTGTCAAAGGACGAGGGTGTCAGGTATTCAGGAGTTACATTCATGCATGTGTTATTGCGGAACATGTCAGGCACTTCCGGCACCATCAAGATTTCGAGTTCCAGGCCCGGGTTTCCTTGATTTTTTCTTCGTAGCCGAACTTGCACGAAAGAAATTGCGTGTGTTTGGGGAGGCAGGGCCGACACATAAGTAAGAAGTAGTTCCAAATTTGCCCTCCATGTTGTCTAACATACTTGAGATTTCCAAGGGGATAATTTTTGCAAGCATGTTCTGCTGACAGCCAGGATGGCAGTGACCTATCGTTACACTGGGAGGTGGACGCCGATCCTGACACGTTGCTGGACCGCGCAAGAGTAGCAAAGTTGAGGAGTTGATATTCTTCCCAAGATATGAACGCCAGGAGATGGACCTAGAGCACCGACAGGGTGCTAAGATCCTCGAATGTGGCAAAGACCACTTGGTGTTGCAGGTGGCCACAAGCAAAATCAAGCAGGGCGGAGTTTGGATTTTGCGATGCAACATCTCCATTGAGTTTTGTAGCCAGGTTCCAAAGGAAATCCTGCAGCGGCTGGACAAGTTGGAGCACGTCACAGCGTCACAAGTTTTACATCCTTGCTGAAAGCTTGGATGTTGCTGGGAGCAACGTTGTCGCAGGCTTCTTCCTGCACCTGTCCACCTGAGGCAAGCATCTTTCAGAAAGAAATTTGTATCATCGAATTCACAAGATCCACAAGGCCAGCTAGGGGGCATTGTCCCGATGCGTCCCCGCCTGTTCCCATATCTTTGGATATCGTAAGGTTGCTCCATTGGAACCAAATTTGGCTTTGGTGGAGTTGCTTACCAAGGACAAGGGTCTGCAATAAGCAAAACTTGAGTTGGTTCTTGTGCGCTTCAGGAGTTGGCGACAGCTCAAGAAGTCTTCCGATCATGTAGGCGCGCATTTGCAAATGGCAAGCTTTGGTCACGCCGCCCGCGTGGGAGGTTCCACGTCCACGTCATGCCGGCAAGGGCTAAAGACCCGCAGGTCTTGAAGCATGACCTGAGGCTCGAGTTGTCCAAGTTGCGGGTTTGGCTTCTGCAAACGCAAGTTAGCCACGCTATTTGCAGGACACGATCTCAGAATCGTCGTGGCAAGCTTGGAACACCTTCAAGTTCTTAACTTGAACGTCCAATATTTTTGCTGGAGGTCTTTCGGCATCATTCTTTGACATGATGCGGGATGGCCTGAACAGTTTGGGAGAGGTTCACGGCAACACCCCCAGAATCGATGCGCTGTTGCATTGGTGGAGAAAGCATGTCACAAAGCTGAAGCACAAATCCAGGTGGCGACTTGAACTTGGTTTCAGGCATCACGCCTGATAAGGCCAACGATGTGCAGGTGCCAGTGGTTAGGCTTGAGATGAGACAGGTTGCCATCTTTGGATCAGTGCAGGACAATTCCTTCTTTAACTTGAACAATCCAACCGAGAAGGACCGGTTTCACTGGAACTGGTCCTATGAGGCCCGCCAAATTCGGTTGTGTTGGATTGGCTGGCCACTGGCTCCTCCAGGCGAACAGCACCAAAAATCCACAGTACAAGTACACCTTCCCAGGAGGGCAGGCATGGATGAGGCATGGCCCTCAACGCATTCTGACCTATCAGTAGCACTTTTGATCTTGGAGGCTCCACAAGCCGAAGGTGCGAGCGTGGCTGGGCTTCTCAATGAACCTTACCAGCCACATGCCAGATATCACACAACCGCCATTGCCCCAACAATATTGCATAGCTGCAACACACAGACCATTCGGATTCATGCCCTGCTGATGCTGTGCCGAGGCCACATGAGAAAGTGGACATTGCCATTCAGAGTCCGTCCAGAAAGTTACCTGTCCGTCCAAAGTGGTTGCTGCACTAATGGCCAAGGTTTTGCAGATTTGGACCTAGACATTGGGACAGCTGCAGACTTTGACAAAGACAGGCGGGTGGTGCGAGAGCCTTGCATGCGCTGACACGCGTTGTCGACCAGTTCTTCGTCGGTGCTGCACAACATGCTTGACGTGTTCCCAATACCCATTCTGAGCAAGTTGAAGCTTGGGCCCGAGGGAATGCAACACATGCCCAGCAAGAGGGAAGAAATCCACTCAGGACAGACACAGAAATGTTTATGCGGCCGTTCACCTTCCACATAGGCGCTTCCTTTGCAGCTGGTTGGCACGCCCACGTGACAGCCTGCACTGCAGGCTCAACGCCTATCACGGTCACCCCAGGGTGGAGTATCAACATGAAGGCTTCGCGTAGGCGAATTACGAGGCAATGAACTACCTGACAGTATCCCTGGAAGATCTTCCACATCGGCAAGTTGAAGGGCACCATGCGAGTCGGTCTGGAAGCGCAGAACACAATGCATGAATCATTCGGGAAGCCCAGAATTTAGCAAGGCCTTGCGACGAAACTGCTAACTCGTGGGGTCATGCACTTCGATACTGCCCGCTCCCCAAACTCCAGCGATTCGGACCTTCGGCCTTCACATGCAAGACCCCAAACAAAATCTTGGCCGTGCCAAGACCTTTGGAGAGCAGCACCACTTCGAGGTTGAGATGAAGAATGTGGGGGGCTTTTCGTTTTGCTGAGAGTTGCCTTCAGGAACTTACTTGTCTACCAACTGGTGGAGCAGCAGCATGTGTTTTTTCTCTGCCTGCTTACTTGCCTGTGTTCTAGGTCAATTTCACTTCTCCGGCATGGATGCTGTTCACCAAGCATTTTCAGCCGCAAGCCCAATCTTTCGTGGCGTTTAGCATGCTATGTATCCTGACTCTGACGAGTCAGAGTCCTGGGGGATGACAGGCTTGGCGTGGAATTTGAGCCGAACGTGTTGGACTTACAGGACGCCCACAATCATTTGGATCCGGAAACCCGCATGATCACCTCATGAGCTTTAACATTTCATGAGATACCAGCGTCTCTTTGCCCAGGTTTGGATGAAGGGCGCCTTCGGGATTTTGCACGACGTGGAGTTCGGCTTTGGATTAAGGCATCTTTTCAATTGAATCTTGCTTATCTCATCCTGGTGTCCTCTGGGTAGGCCATACTTCAACATGAGCATTATGGAGGAAGACAAGGGGGATGGGCCTGCTTCTAATGGAAGTTGTCATCTTGCCCTTCTTGATGTGCACACAGCAGGACATGCCCTGAAATGCACATGTTCCATGTTCATTCCCAGGTCAGACACAGAAGAACTCGCCATCTACCCATACCTTCTGGTGGGCGGTGCACTGAGGAAAGTGCTGAACGTGCATCAGCCTAGCCGATCACATGGCCCATGACGGTAAAGACTTTCATGAGTGCAGAGCTCTCGCTTGGGGTCTCTGTTTGATCCACGTCAGCATGCAAGCAGGTTGTTGCTGCATTGCGTCAACTTAGTAGAACGGTTTCATATGCAGACCGCTTGCACAAGGCCTTCCGCCAGGGCACTGCTATGCTTTAAAGATCAGCAAGAAGCTTAGTTGAAAGAACGCGGGGGTCCCAGAGACCCACTGCATATTGCTTGTTGCATCTAAGGTGCCAATGGTCAATACAAAACTACGCAGCGCCCGCATGATTGGTGCATGTGGGAGTTGTTCATGTCAGTTTCTTGTTGATCATCAGGGCATGTCAGCTGAGCCTCGGTGGCGTTATACGCTTCCAGAACAAGCTCGAGGCACGGCCGGCCGGGCATGTCCGCAGATCTGCTGCTACACGGCTCTCTTTCGGAAGTTTGTTATGTGGGCACAGCTCAGGGCAGAGCAAATGAACAGGAACCGAACCCGAATCCCGCTGGGAAAAAGTAAAGACAAGTGGCACATATGGAACCCAATACGAGCGAATCAGTGACAACCGTACCTGGACCCTGCCAGGTGACTGGAAGGACATCTAAACTTGTATGGGGAGCGCAAATCCCGGCACACCACTGGACCAGTGGAGGGTGCTGCGTCCCATCCCCCATTCTTTGGGTGGTGCCAGGGTGAGGAAGGTAAATGGATAAGATAGGCCAGATAGTCGGGGTGTCAGACGGGCATTGTGCTAGCGCAAGCGTAGCTGTGGTTAGGCTGAATATTACTCATGAAGCTCAAGCCGTGGCAGATCTTCGAGTTTGGGCTGACGTCGGAAAAGAAGCTTCTGACGGATCCGATCCAGGCTTGAGTGGTTCCCACAGTGCACTCCATTGACATGGAGATCAACATGGGGCCTACAGAAGTCCGTGCTTGCAGGTGGATATCCTGAAGAATGGTGAGGCCATCATTGAGTCTGGGGTCAAATCAAACCAGCGTGTTGGTGTATAGCTTGTAGACGGTCCATGCGTAGACGACGAGGGCAGTTCTTGTACATATTCCACCAAAGCTGTTGGAGGAGATTGTTGCGACTGGCGAAGTCGTCAGGAGCTGAGGGGCCAGATAACAGACGCTTTTTTTTTTTTTTCTTTTTTTTCGATTTGCCTACTTTTAGACTGGGAACACCAAACTTCGGTTGCTCAAGGCCATCTCAAACTAGGTATGGTTTACGAACTACTCGGTTACTGTTCAGCATTCTGAAGCTAAGTTACGAGGATTTCAACAGCTATCATTTTTTCAAGTTTCCATGTGATGATCACGTCTGATAAGCCGGAAGACGCATTTCGGCGTGCGGGGATATCGCACGCAGAACTGGCGTCACGTTCAAGGCTGCACAGCTTGTTTTGCCACATGCCGCAAACACATCGCAGGTGTGCTTGAAAGTGGAGAACGGGAGGCCGGTTTGCCGTGGCATTCCAGAAGCTTCCTGAATTGAGCTTGCTTCCGCTCGTTGTCCGACTTTCCGAGCATTGAAAAAAGGGTTATGCAAGTACTCCGCGGCATTGTCGAAGATTCCATGGCTGCAGGTGCCATCCGCATCCAACAAAAGTCCATATGGAGGTTGAGGGTGAGGAGAGCAGAGGGCAAAACCAACCGAGGGAGTGCCCTAGCTTGTCTAGAGGAAGTCGTGGCGCACTTGGGCATCTACTTCCAGGCTTCCGCTGCATGTTGCGCGGTTTTGCACGCAAGGTATCACTGCATGCGTTGGCTGTCGAAAGATGTTGTGTCCATCCTATCCTGTGGAGCAACGCAGGAAAATGCCCTGGCCCAGCTGGAGATTAACATGCAAAGCATGACCGTGCGAGTTACACTTTGGACTGTGAGCTCCCAGGCTGTCCGGGCCCTGACAAGTCATACCAGCAGTAGGCAGCACCGAGAATCATCATGATTGCCGTCATGGTCTTGCCGAAGGGAAGACATGTGATTCAGGAAGAATTCCAAGAATTGGTGTCCAACGAACAGGCTGAGGCTGGCGATTGTTGTTGAGAAGTTATGGTTCTTGAAGCCTGCGCTGCTGATTTGACTCACAATGTGCGTTTCTGAGTGTTTGCTTGCTTGGTTTGGTTTGATTTGCGCCCCTAGCTGCCGCTGCAGCTGAACACGATCTGTTCAGAACCAGGGCAACCTGCAGCTTTGCTTCTGCCACGACGGCCGCGAAGATTGCCAGGGCCCTGGGCAAACCTGCAAATTTGAAGCTATGGGTTCTTTGACAGCATGGACAGACATGCGAAGAGTTGTTGCAAGGCTTCAGATTGGACCCAAAGCGGGATTCTCAGTGATTTCGTGGAAATGGTGTTGACATTCTCTGCATGCTGGCGATGTTCCTTCTTGCACTGATTGCGATTAAGCACGTTTCTTTGAAGTTGCATCCAGCCAGCACCTTGCAGACAACATTGACAGTGAAGTGGTTTCAAGGTTTCCGGGCGCCAACACGCTCTTCACGAGCAACACCATTTGGGAAGCTGGCCCAGTGTTCACAGAGCCAGCCTAAGTTTGCATGCATTTTGACTGCAGTGTAAATGGGCATTCATACGGGTTTCAAGCAACTGCAACCTGGAACTTAGGAACTTTGGGTAACAAAGCCGGCGTCCTCTTCCTTTTCACACGATCCGTCTCAAAATGATGAAAGGCCACTGCAAGCCTGGCACACAAGTGTAGTACTCGCTTCTGAATTTTCCCGCAGGTTGCAAAACAAAGTGTTTATCCGTGGTGCCAGCGGCAAACTTTTGTGCAAGGGAGTTCTGCTCCAGACACAGGTAGAAGAGGCGCTGCTTGTGACACGATCAAAACTTTTTCATGGTAGCATATGTTGGGCTGCGCAAAACTGGCAGGAGAAGCCCATTAAGAGCATTGAGGACTTGGAAAGCAAGAGGAAGCGAGCAGCTCAAGTTCCATTCCTTGATGACATGAAACAGAAACCCAACAGCTGCTGAGCACAAGATTCTACGCATACTGCAAGTGGCATTAGAACAAAAGAGGAGTTTTGCAACACGATATCCATTCTTGCTTTGAGGTTTGCCTGGGTTGACCTTTCTTTGCATTCGTCAGCTACTTTTGGTTGAGCCTGCAGCTTGCCTTTGGGCATGCATTCTATGGGCTTCTCTTTGAAGGAATCCGACACCGGGTCATGACAAGTCAAGTTGCTTGTTCAACGTCAGTGAACGCACCAAACATGGACAGGTAGAGTCAGCCAACAGCCGTCAATGGGAGCAGCATGTAAGAAGGGTCAACCTTAGCCACATTTACGTTGTTGTTGGACAGCACCCGTCTGGTGCAACATTGAGATGGGGATAGCTCCTCTTGGTGCAAGTGGCACACATCATTCCGTCCCCCAAGGGATGCGATGCAGACAATTCCAACTCAGGTGCGGGAGCTCAGCCTGACCACTCTTGAGATACGTATGATTTGACGTCTCCCTCCACTGTGGCTTCAGCTTGGTTATGGCTTGCCAAGCATTTGGCGTTAGACATGGGCACTCACCGCAGATATTAGAGTCCGCGATGTGGCAACTCCAAGCCATTTATGCTTAGCATGTGATAGCACTTGACCTCAGGGTCCGGCACGTAATTGAGAAAAAGTTGCGAGGTCATGCTTGTGGATGCAGCTAATCCTTCTAAAGAGGTCCGGTGCTCAGCGATGTGGGCACTCTGGAACATCAAATCCGTTTGGTCAGTGCTGTGAATTCACAGCCCCTCACTTGTGCCAGATGAGGTGGGCTCCGCTCAAATTGAGCTCGACATGATGCCTGCGCAGTACGGTGCAATGTGGATTCAACCCTTTGAGGCTTTGCTGGTTTGCTCAGCATGAGATGCAAAGGAAATAAAGACGTGTGACAACAGGGCGACCGATTTGTGGTTGGCTTATCCTACACATTTGCCTGGTCGACGCATGGGGCGGCCTGGGCCCCAGCTGACATTTCCATAATGTGCCTATATATATATGTATACATATATATATATATTAGGTAGTTTCCATTTACTTTTCGACTATCCCATTATTGCTTTGTTCCTACAGTTCATTCGTTGGCTACGACATGCAGCCTTTAAGCAGGTCGAGGGAGACTCCTATGCCTTCACGATTGCTCTCCACGAGGTATCATCTGCAAAAAGGGCTGCCTGTGTGAGTTTCAGCCTGGGTTTCCTCAGGTCAGTGGGGAGCAATGTGCGGGCCTTGGCAAGCAGCTCAGCACTGAAGATTTCAAGGCTGGGCTGCACCGGCACCGGTGGGATTTGCGGAGTTTCTTCTTGGTATGTTGAGCAGGTGAAATGCAGCAAGGACCCGCGAGCCGCACACTCAAAGTGAAACAAAAAGGTTAATACAACCATTCACGCATGCATCTACAAGGTTGGGCTTGCCCCACTGATTTTTGAGGTCAAGGTCCACCGATTCGGGGGTTCGCACCTGCCGTGCGTCTTCGAGCGGCAGGCCAGGATGTGCAAGTTACGTGCAGCAGCTAAGGACATGATAAAAGAACGTTGCAACCTAATTTTCTGAGGTCGTGTGTCCGCAGGAAGCAGCTGGCAAGACCGTGATTGATTGGCTCTCAGGACAGTTTGCAAGAGCATGTCGGGGTCAAGTGCCACGTCCAAAGGGCGGGTACAGGCATCTCAGAATCCCGATCCAGACAAAGACATGACGTCAAAGCGGCTGACGAGCTGACTACTTGTAGTCTCATATTCGTCAAATATCAGGCATGGTGACCCGCGACCTGATTGTCTGGCGTACTTCATTTCAGCCATTCACCATCATCGGCATCCTGCTTTAAGTGTGCAATTTGCATGTTCTCGGACCTGCCCATGACATTCCACATTGTGAGCAAAAACAGTTTGTGCCTACATTGCATGCTGAGGCCCTTGCCAAATGGTACGATGCTGCGTACTACATGCACCGCATGGTCCCAGACACAGCATTTAGCGCTGAATGAAGCAATGGGGCAGAACTTGACACAGGACTTGTCTCAGAGTCTCAGAGAGTTTGGCTGCCCATCATTATTGGAATTCTACCGAAGTTCCCAGCACCTCCAAGCACGGCCTCCAGGGAAAGTCTCAAAGCTGACTCTCTTTGCTTCCACGAGGCTTCAAATGCCTTCCGTTGTGAAGCTAACACCGGGCGCCGCTTGAACGCCACAGTGGCAAAGGCACTTGTACTTGGGCACATCCCTGCCCAGCAGCATGCAGCCTTATGCTGCAGGCTGCGGCCCAAGTAGCAAGAAACGCCAGGTCCTTACGTGGATGCTCAGGCTTTGTCCGATCAACGCGCATGCAGATGTGGATTTTGGTTTTGATTGGACTGAGGATGAAAGCGTGGGTTTCGGTTTTGAATCCCAAGGCCATAAGGAGGGACTCAGTCCCGAGGCCATTGGATACTTGCAGGGAACACAAGTTGATGAGGTGCACACTGCAAAAACGCAAATATGCTTGGTGGTAGACATGCTGTGCATAGGCTCGCGCTGCGTTTGAAGACCTAGCGAAGCACTGTCACGAAAGACCTTTGAAGTGCGCGGCTTTTGTCCCTCATGCTCAGCTTGGCAAAAAAGTTCCTGTTTGCTTCCATACTTTCTGGCAGGTATAGCATCGGAGCAGGTGTCAATTACATACAGCTTGTGAAGAACATGCCATACGCCGGAGGAGGAGGAGTGGGCAGTAGTTTGGGCCCAAGGCTGCAAATAATGAAAGGACCTGCATTCCGACCTGTGCTGAGGTAGCGACGCAAGCAATCCAATGGGCGGCCACTTCATGCCGGATGGAAGCTACATTTCCAATCCGTACCCGATTTGGAGCCTAGGGTTGAAGCCTTGGACTGGGGCACATTCATCACTCGCGTGGGAGCATTGTAGTTTCCGTTTTCTTTCGAAGTCATCATGGACAAGAAAATGGAGACTATCAACCAACTACATGGATATCATACTTGCAAGGCAAGACGAGGAGAACCGCAAGCGGTTGAGCGACTTGCTTCCAGAAAGTGTTCGGCACTTAACCTTTGCACCAGCTAGTTCCAAAAGCATGCTTCTGCAACTGTGCCAGTTGTTGCTAAGCGCTCATGTGAAAGCCGCTGTGCACCCTTCATATGGTCTTGGTGACAGCACACATCAACATGGTTGTAAGATTCATTCCGGAAAGCAATTGAGCAATGTAAACTAAGACCGCGGCGAAGTGCCAGCAAACAGATGATAATCAAACGCAGCAAAGTCTCTTACACTTTCAGTTTGCAAAGCTTGACACAAGAGGTCTGCATTGGAGGCATGTGCGAGGGGATGATGCACAGGGCCTCAGGAAAAAGTAGCACAGAGGTTTTATTCTAGACTGCATCCCTGGGATTTTGTAAGGCTTGGCTGTCAGAAGCGGAATGTCAGACCCATCAACATTCCCAAGGACTATATGCCGCTCTGCACCTGGCACTCGTGCATATGCTGTGCCACAGGTTTGCTACAAGTTCAACCGCACATTCAACTGGATCCCGCATGCCTAGCTGGCATGATTGCGAATAGAGTAACTTTGACTTGCCAATCAAGTCATATTGTTGCACGTTCGAAGGAATTTGCATCATTCCATCGGCAGGTTGGGCCTAGTGCCAGGCATGTCATCGCTTACGGCAGTGGGCTTGGAGATTTGAGCTGCTTGAGAACCTTTTCGTGTTAGCTTCAGGCTTGATGATTTTGCCTTCTGCCGTGAAAGAAGCTGGCATTGAGGCTTGTCGCTTCTTCGCCCCTTGCCTTTTGTCGCTCAAAATCCTCAAGTTCATGGCTGCAAGGCTCAGCAGATCGAAAAGGCGCTGCAGACAAACCAGCATGATCCTCAAACGCACACGGATTTTTCAGCAAGCGGAAGTTGTTGCGGCAAGCTTCGCTGTCTTCCAGCGTTTGAGGTCCCAGCCCTTGCAAGCTTTGACGGAAGATCTTGGGAAGATTTTCCAGCCAGAGCGCCAGCCCCAGCACTAGAGACGGAAGCTAGGTTGGCTCACGGGTTCAGACATGGAGGCAGGTGGAAACGGTTTTTTGCATTTTTTGGGTGGTAGCAGCAGGCAGCACTCCAACACGTAAGTCCAGCGGGCCAACGTCCTTGCTGCCTGCGATGCTTCACTCAGCCGCCGATAGACCTGCAAAGCTTGCAGCTTCCTTTTATGGAGCTGACGGCATTGATACATTTATACAGGCCAGTTGCCGCATCTTCAGCATTACATTTCAAGTTCTGGACTCGTCTGGCATGTTTAACTTGAGGTAGAGAGAGAGAGAGATTTCTAATAACAACCTCACAAGGAGGGGAGGAGGGATGCTCCATGTAAGGTTCACCGCCAGCTTGAGGTAGGGGATCGCAATCAGGGCTGACAGCTCACCAGCCTGTTTGACATTCGGTGACTTGTGATGTGAGATTCGATCCTTGGGCTCGCTGGTGCCCGACCCGACCTTGGCACAACGGACATTGCTGGGCTTGGGGGTTTGCCCCGGCTCCCCTGCAAGGGGGGAGCAGAGCCCGAAGAAGAAGAAGAAGAAGAAGATTTCTGATAATATAGGGCATCAGGCCACAGGCCATGCATCCCAGCGCATGTAACAGGGGATCACGACGGGCCCAGTCCAGTCTGTTTCCAGTGCGAAAATCAAACGCAGGACATCCTCAAAGTTGGAGGTTGCTCAGTGGCTTATTTCCGTATTATATTGCCTATCACAAGTAAGTGGTGCCAAGGCAGGCTCGACGACTTCTCCAGGAAGCTTTTCCCACGCCCGCGGGGGCACAAAGAGACATGTTTAGCTGGCATTTGCTGTGTAGCTGCACGTGGGCAGATCCTCCAATTCTCAAGGAAGCTGCCTATAGATTGCTGGACTCAAAGCATGCCAGGGCGAATTCAAAGAAGAGACACTGGATGACATGGAGGCTCTCCTGACAAACTCAGTTCTCAATTAAATATGGCTTCTGCAGGATGACTGGAGCTCTGGACTTAGCCAACTCAAGAGTGCCAAGCAAGATGGCAATCGAGCTGCTCCTTCCTACTTGCAGGTAAACATGGCTCCTACGACGAAATGATCGTGTCACTCCAAGACTGCTGTGGGTCGTGGGTTGTAAGGTAGAAATTCTGGAGATTTGCAGTTGGCTGTTCCACGTTTAAGGTGGAGATCACGGAGCCCATGCACTACCCCATCACGGATGCAGCAGGATTCTCAGACATAGACCTGCTATCGGGCCTGAGATTCCCAGAGACAATGTCGCCGCAAAATTGCACCACAGGTCATGCAGTACTTATTGTCTGCGGATGCATTTCGGGGATTAGAGGCCTGACGCACACACGTCTCAATCTTTTGGGTTGCTGCTACAGAGTTTGTATAAGGAAACCCAATTATTCACTATATACCCATGTCATGGAAACTTGATTTAAGTTCCTTAGCAGCAACCCCGTCATTTGCAGATCCGTCATAAGTTGTGGCAGCAAGACGCACACCTGTGTTGATATCTGGCCTTACCTTTACATGCTTGAAACATCTATCTGCTGAAGCTGAAGGATGGTCGAGAGGCCACGCACGGCCGAGCACCTGGAAGCCACATCTGAAGTCTAAGGTAACATAGGAGCTCCAGAACCTGCTCCCCTTTCAATGCAGAATACCAAAACGGATGCGGTAGGCGTTCTGGCAGTTCCTTGTATGATTTTTGCTGAGGTAACACCTTTGGCGAAACTAGCACCGAATTGAGCCTAGCTTCCCTCACTCCAGGCCCCATCAAGATCATCGGCTACGAGCTTCTGGACTCAGCAGGAGTAGCAGCTAAGAGAGCCAAGAGACGGCGGAGAGCAGAATCCGATCTGCATCACAAGGCCCCCCATTGGGTTGAGTATCCTTGCACGCGCGTTCTTCACACGTTTAGCATGGCAATTTTTTTCCAGGAACCGGGAGCCCCTTTCCTTCTTTGGGTCATGCTCGTGATTCATATACTCTCGGAGAGAGCCACGCATGTTTGGCAAATGAAGACGACAAAGGTCATAGTGATGGCTGCGTGCGAAGTTGACAGGGATGCTTGCAAGCTTATCTCCCAAACTCTTGATCACAGCATGAAATTATGATTGTTCTTTGGCCACACCTCGTCATGAGTCACTTGGAAGATAGGCTGCCAATGCTCCCAGCTTTTGTTGCCATCTTTCCCATCCGGAAAAGGAAGCACGCGCCTTGACGGTCTTACCGGAAAGGGCTTCCTGCACAGCGGGAGTGCCAATGTTAAACGTGAGACATATCAACAAATCATTTCCTAGCATGCACGTGACGCCATAGGCAGGGGTTGGGCATCGGCAAAACATGAGCAACACATGATTGCTCCACGAAGGTTTATCATGCCCTTGCAAGCTCCAAGCTCCGTTGTGCGGTGAATCCACGTGGCAATAAATTTGAGCAGGCAAGGATGATTCCGCTGGGCAAAGACCAACCTTTGCAAACTGTCCAAAGCGTGGCAGAGGCAGAACCTGTCTTTGTGGGTGAGAAACAGTTTGGTTTCTGCTGCTGGAAGGCAAGTTCAGAACTCTGGAGTTCAAGCCGCGGTCGTGAGCCACCTGGTAGTTTCCCCAAGATTGGGGTATACCCCACTGGATAGAAAATTCTTGCCTAAATGCCCTTGGTTGCATGCAAGGCCTGGTTCAGTCGCAGACAGGTCCTGGCTGGCCCCTGAGAGTGAACCATTTGACTGTTTGGAGTTATGTGGTACAAAGCCCAGGATCATTTGGATTATTTGCTGCCGGGGCAGCACTTCTGCTTTTGATCGCGGTGGCCCGTCGCAGACAAGGCAAAAGCCTCAGGAAGTTTACCAAGTAAGCAAGCTGGTGCTGGCGTCAGTGACAGCCAAGGCTATTCAGCTTTGACCTCACAACCTGAAGCCGAAATCTGTGCTTAGTTGTGGACCTCAAGTCTCACCATGCTTGTGGGAGGTATCCAACGCTCTCAAAAGGTGATGTGAAGTGATGAGTTTGTTATTGATATGCCAGCAACTGAGCTAAGTGAGTGAGAGAATGGGCCGCCATCTCAGATGGAGCTGGATTCTCACGTCATGATGTTTAGAGTATTTATGGATAATTGAAAATTGGTTTGCCGGTTTGCCCCATGGTGCTGTGCCTATCTCATATCAAGCCCCGAAAAGAATCAACCATATTCAGACAGTCACGTCGTCGTTAGCGGCAGTGTGCAAGACGGGCATTCGATGTGGACTTCGTCCCACGCCTGCCAGCGTTCGTGGAAAAAGCTCGTTGATCGTGCTTGCCAGTGTTTTCAGCGTCAGCCAGTTTAGAGATTTTTGGCGTCACACATGGCTGTCAGATTTTCTATTCTAATATCAGATGAAGCCTGGATTTCGTGGCACGCTGGAAAGTGTTTTGAGCGTCTCGCTCGCGCGCGTGTAGTCTTCGCGGTGCAGCCAGCTAACGCTAGCGTGGTCTTCGGGTTTCGGGCTTAGGGTTCAAGGTTTTGGATGGGCCTATTTCAGCATCATCTGTTTAAACCTTAAGCTAAAACCCAAAGCCCCGAGCTCGAAGCTATAAACCGGAATCCCTACACTGTAAACCTGCGCAACTCTGCGTAGATCGCTGCCTCGGCCACATCTGATCCAAATGCGCAAAAGACTTCTGCACGCATCAAAACAAAGCTCACATGTCCGGACGGCGTCAGCGCTTGTCACCCCTGATAGCTCCAAGTGGGACATGAAGGGCAGTCAAGCCGAGACTTAGCAACGGAAACCGCAAAATGAGCTGCTACTCCAAAAGGCCAGCAGCTTCCCGCTCGTGAATGACGACCACCCAGAAAGTTCCAGGCAGAGACTACTACATGGTGCCCCAACATCGTGCAGCTGCAGAACTCCACATGTGACCGGTGCCACACGCGCAGGGTTTCTTACACAAATGCGATTACCACCTGTTGACTAGCATAAGGAATTATAGTGAATCTTGGCAGCAGCCCACTGCAGCCTTGTGAGCATAGGAACAGAGCCACTGAAACCAGCTGCTATTAGAAACTTTTGCGCCCCTTGCCTGACGCTGAAGCCTCAGCGGGTTGCTGATCAAAGCCTTTTTTCAAAGAGCCTTTGCCTTCATGGAGTTCTATGCTAGGTTATGATGCCTGCACAACCTACACTGCTATCCTGCCCCTGTTGCCGCCACAATCCCAGAACAGGCCCGGATTAAGTTGAAAGGTAACAGGCCCTACTTATGCTAAGTACTTGCATCTTATACTTGGGTTGTTACAGCCATGGAACTTCTCTATGCTGCAGCTCGCGAGCGCTTAGCCTCTCAGGTAGTTGTATAGTGCTGGACTACTTACAATGCATGCTTCAAAGGAAAAGGGTCATATGGCATTACGTTGTGAGCATTCCTTCATACAGGGTGTTAGGGCTTCACAGGGACATCCGCTTCTCAACTTGGTATCGGAGCTGTCGGGTGTTCGTTCATGGCTCATGTTCCTTTTGTTCCTTGCCATGGTTTCTACTTTCATGTTTACTGGCATGGATGTGACACTGCCCTGGAGGTCCCTGGATATGAAGCAGGACAACCATACAACGCAAGCTATGACCTGAATCCGAATGCGACCAAGAAGAAATCCTTCAGCTACTTCATGATTTCGAACATTTCCTGGAAGACAATTCCCGGCATGAGGAGCCAATCCCTGCGAAGCCTGATTTACAGATTTTCCTGAAGATGGTCTGGATTACACTGGTACAGGAAACAATTTTGTGATCTACGATTTGCTCCGGGTGAAAACTCAAGACGTCAAACAGGTGCACGATTTCTAGCAATCGCGGATCGCATAAGCCGTTTGCATCGGAAGGCTCATTACCAGCTTGGGTCTCAGATGATTCCTTTCAAGCGCACGCAAGACATGAGCATGCACCTTAGGCCGCCAAGCGCTTATCACGCAGAGAGCGCCCCGTGCAAGCACACGCAGTGATGCCAGGTCGACGGCCAGGTGACGCCAAGGTTGGGTCCAAAGGTTTGTTGCCAATAAATGGTTGGGGACTCCTTTGTTATTCTCCTTAGTTCTCAGCGTTTGCAGCACAGGCCTCAAGGTTTTGGTTTCGGGCCATGCCAGCATGCCGTTCGAGATGTTATGCCGCGTTCCGGCTGCGGCGCTCGGGCGTCCACGCGCGGCGGGGCCACAGGGACAGCGCTGACTCGCTGCGTGACCAGGAAAAACCGCCATGAAGCGCCGCATTGGCACCTGCCGCTGGCGAAAGCGGGAGTCGCTTGCCAGCATTTTCGGCCATGTAGTTTAATGTTGGTTGAATCATTGCATGTTTGTTGCCGCCCGCAGCATTTTGGTCATTGTATTTTGCTTCCCCAATCATGGCTGGCGATGGCGGTGCTTGCAGAGTGCGCCCGGCGGCCGCGAACGGCGCGGCATGCCCGGCAGCAGCTCCGTCCACGCTCTTTTAATTTAAACCTCGTATCCGAACCGATCCTGATCCATCCTGTTGGATTTATTTTAAACCTCGGGCCCGAGCCGATCCTTATCTATCTTATTGAATTTAATTTAATCTTCAGATCCGATCCGAGCTGATCCTGATCCATCCTATTGAATTTCAATTAAAACCT